TCTCGGCGACCATTCTCGATTGCCTCATTAATCTATCGCGTGTGGGTAGTACTCTAATGGATTAAAATAGGGTTTGTGGAAGGAACCAATAGAGAATTATTGGACGTACCGAAATCTTTATTTATTTAGTTTATCGCAAGCCTATTATATTGGATATTATTTAGATGACAAGAGAATTGGAGCATGGAATTCAATTTATGAAGATTAGATAATGTAATATCAAAATTAAAAACTATTTCTAGTGGTGGGGGAACATATGATGATAAACATTTCAAGAATGGAAAATGGATTGAATTGAGTCAAAATTTTTCAAAGTATTGAAAATCTTAATTAAATATAGTAATGCATAGATCACATATAGTGGTTAATATAAAAAAAATAAAAAGATTAATCAATGGGATATCAATTACAGGTTTTCAAGAGATTATCAATTTGAATGGATGTAAAAATATATATATTCTTTAGTGGCGGAGGATCATACAATTAGGAAGGTTTTAAGTATGGTTAATGGATAGACTTGATTGATAATTTCTATCGGTATAATAGAAATATTTATTATTTCTAATTTCTTAGTTTAAGATAGGTTACATTTAATGGTGAATATTAAAAGAGTCAAAAAGTTGGAAGATGGGATACATATTTTAGAATTGAAGGTCTATTTTAAAATCAATTTTAATTAATGTAAAAGTTTTGATACTCTTATTTTATAAATTAGTGGTGGTGGATCATATGATGAAACAGGAATGAAGAATGGTAAATGGATAGAGCCAAGCAACAATTTTTATAAGTAATCTGTTAAATATGATAAATTATATAGGTATAGTTAAGTTACTCATGAGGGAGAATATTAAAATGGAAAGAAAATAAATTAATGGGTTACCAGATACAAGTAAAGTGATTAATTAGATTTTACGTAAAAATTTTTAATTCTTCAATTTGATAATAGTTGTTGTGGCCAATATGATGCAGTTGATGGTATGAAGACAGGATTATGGGTTGAATTGAGTGATGAATTTAGATAGTATTAAAATTATATTATTACAAATAAGGGATAATTAAATTGCGTATTAGGGGATATATCAGAATGGGAAAAAAATTGGTAGATGGGAGATCAATTTTAAGGAGTTAAATTAATTTGAAAAAATGTAGTAAATTTTATATCAGTATTAGAGGAGTATGTTATTATAATGAGAAGGGTCTTAAAATTGGATTGTAAACAGAAATTAGCGAGAGTTTTTTTAAGTATAAGAATTATATATTTTATCAACTTTTTAGTTTAAGTTAAGTTTTTTATAAAGGTGAATATCATTATGGTCATAAAACAGGTAAATGGGAAATCTTCTGGAAGAATAAATTAAAAAATGAATAACTGTATAATAATAAATTATTATTTCATTAATTTATTAGGGGATGTGGATTATATGGTGAAAATGGATTAAAGTAGGGAAATTGGATTGAATTGGCGAATGATTTCAATAAGTAATTTCTATAAATTATTATTCATAGAGATAAATAGGTCACTTATTATGGGGAATATCGTTATGGATAAAAGGTTGGCCTATGGGTGACTTATTTTAGGTTCTCCGAAGAATTCGAGGAAATGTATGTAAAATGATAAATTCCCTATGATTTTAGTGGTTGTGGTTGTTACGATGATGAAGAAATTCAGAATGGATTTTGGATAGAATTGGCTGAAGATTTCAGTTGGTATTACATTATTATAATTGAGTAATAGCTCTAAATAAATCATTTATTAGGGGGAATATAAAAATGGTAGAAAATTTGAGAAATGGTAAGAATTCAAAAGAGATAAGTGGAAAATTGATTAAGGATTTTAAAAAATGTATATATTAGTTTTATTTAGTGGTGAAATGTATTATCAAAATTGAAAGAAATGGAGATATTATGCAAAATATTCATATAATTATTCCAAATAATTTATTTTTATTATTTAATTTATGGCTCCTATCTTTGTCAATTATTACTAAATAAAACTTGAAAAGAAAAATAGAAATGGTTGATATTATAATAATACTTTCATATATTTTAATACTTTGATTAAAATAATTCAACACACTATACTTTAAGTAAGGGAGTTCAAGGGTTTAAATATATTTAGATATGAGATTGATAGTCATTTTAATTTGTTTAATGGTTATTAGTACTAAATTATCGAAATTCAATAGAAGATATTTCTAAAATTTAACTCCAGTTTACTATTATAGATAGTAAATACTGAAATATTTAGTTTTAATTAATGATAAACTTGGTTTGATGGAAAAAAATCTCAGATGCCTTATTAGCTTTTAAAATATCATTTAAACAATTTGTAGAAATTTTCAACTCTATCAGCATCCTACTTATCTTTGATTTATCTTTCTCAAATATTTAAAAGCCACAAAAAAAAATAGACTTTCAAAATTATTTCAGGATAAATAGTTGATAATTAGTGTATCAAAACATGAATTTAATAAAATCACTTCAGAAAAGCATATCTTCTTCAATGCTCAAATTGTAGAAAAATAATAAGAATAGTTGTATAATGATTTTGAGCATTTTCGATTTATTTATAAAATAAAATTAGAATATAATGATATAAAAAGAAACATTAAATTGTTGTTAAAATCGCAATAGTAGATAGAAATATGCGCAAAATGATAAAAGGCTATTATGTAGTGATTGTACGGAAAATTTTGAATAGACAAACAAGACCATGAGTTTGAAAGTAATATCAAATTTAATTGATATACATATAAAAGAACACTGAAAAAAATATCTATTCTTAACTCATAGAAATACAAAATGAAATCCTTAATATATTATATGAATGGTTGGAAATCTAATATATATCTAATAATTATCCGATGATAAATATAAAACTATTACTAATGGTTTTATTGATAAATTAGATTGTTTTTTTTGAATAATAATATTCAATAGGAAGATGATTTCGAAAACTAGTGAATCACATTAATTTATTAAACGACTCCTTAATTGGAAAAATTAAAAGTAAATTATAGGAATTCAATAAAAAATCAAGAGAATTAGCGTTTGTATTTAAGAAAACATTGATATATATACTTAAAATTGATAAATTTGAAATCAACCTAAAATTGGTTAATCATGAAGTCAAATGATCTTAAAATTGTTGGACAATGGCATTCATTCATTCTGGGTAAAATTTAGATTCAGAGTATGGAAAGAATATTAATGATATGGTAATTTTTTAGATGTTGGAAATTGGCGAAAGTGTAAAAATGGTTATAATCAGAATAATATTTAAATCATACAGGTAGAATTTTGTGCTTCGTATTATCTAATGAGAATATGCTGTTGTCTGGAATTAATGATTCAAAAATTATAGTTTGGAGAGTTGATTTTACTAATAATGCGACTTAACATTTTTTTTTTTTTTTT